CCTGACGGCTTCATGCTCTAAAACCCTCCAGTGTGACTGAATTACAACAATTCTGCACAGACCGTTTTCTAAAACAGCGAGAGAACAATGAGCAGAACAGCAAGCATAGCAAAATATTACCTTTTAATTTCAGTGTAACATACAGCCGCCTGATAACAGCACCACAGGTAGGTTACTTACACAAACACTGGACGTTTGGAAGGTGTCCTTATTAACCCACCGGCAACAGTTGCCGTTTTAACCCCACACATCAACAAAATTAAACATACAGTGAGTAGGACAAGTCTAAGGAGTGAAATGCATTCACTTATTTTGCAGCGAAAAATCTGGGATTAGACGGGTTCCATCATTTCAAAGAAGCAAAGAACTGGACAGGTTGGACTTTTATCAAGCTGCTGTGAAGCCTCTGGTGCTCCGGGACGACGGCCCCAGGAGCTCAGATCATTGGTCTGACCCCCACCCCACCCTCAGAGATGGAAGACCTCGCTCGACCACAAAAATCAGGTGTGCTGATGACATCACAGTGACCTGATCTGAGGTCAGCGCCACCGCTCTGATCACAGATCAATGATCAGCTGTAAAAACCAATGTACTATGACAGAGAAGTCGCTCCGGCCTCGGTGCTGGGGTAGGTTACGTATGTGTTGTCATGGTAACAGTTTTGCTGGGATCTCTATGGTCCAGAGGTCACGACCTCCCGGAGCTCTCAGTGGGGCCTTCAGCCAGCGAGGGTTGGACAGGTTAGTCAGGTGCTTCTCCTGCAGACCAATCACCACGGCCGACTGCTCCAGGCACTGTAGGTCCTTCCCCTGGAGGGAGGCGGGGCAAAGCCAGGTCCGGCCCACATCCACCAATCCTAAAAGAGACCACAGGGTTCGTTCAGGGATGTGTAAACGTGGCAGAGTAAATAGTGATTCTAACCTGCCACCACGCCGCGGCCGAACCGCTCCCCGGACTCCAGAAGTGCCTCAATCTGAGCACTGTCCATCCCCAGCAGGCCGCTTAGCACTGCCCTCCACTCCGACCCCTCCCAGTCACGCTGAGCCACGTGGACCGCCAGCGTCTGGTTCTCCAGTGGAGCGAGCAGCGGCCTCCAGCGGCTCTCCACCGTCTTTACCCCGTCCAGAACCAGGCCGGCATACGGCTGCCGGAAGGACAGGCACGGCACCTGCACTGCCATGTCTGCAAAACAAGCGCACCCAAACAGGACGCACTTTTCAGACGTGTGAAACATTTTCAGGTTTTTTTTAGCCCCTTTTCCATTAGTGCCTGCTCGACTCGCCACAACTCGACTCCACTGGGTTTCCACTATAACCAGTACCATCTAATATGGGTGCTTGTTGTTATAGCAACGTGTAATCTTAATTAAAATGTGACACGAATGCGGGGGCTGTTTGTCAGATTCTTGGAGCAAACCGTCCTAGTGTACATTCCTGCGGTCACACAATAATTCCAGGATAAATTTAAGTAGATAGGACAGGTTGCCACTTAATTTTGTGTTGTGCACATGCGCAGAAACAACAGGTAGGATGGTTTGTGAGGTCGGATGGATTCCTAGAACACATTTCTCTCGTTTTTTTGTGAAGTAAATATTCTCATGACCTATCGAGTGACGCCACTGACCAGCCAATCAGTGGCATGCAGTCCGATGACGTAATAGTTTAATACCTGCTCGGATCGCTTGGAACCCGTCCGAGCAGGTACTAAAACAGTACCAGGAACTAGTGATGTCACGTTCTGTATCGAGGCCTCAAAGCTTGCGTCAAGTAATGGAGGGGGCGTTTCCGCGATGCGCGTATTGAGGCTTGCTTCATTGATGGGAGGAGCTGAAAATGATGACGTCCGAAGCCTCGCTGCCCGGCTGTACCACGTGACTGGTTCATGAAGTGGTTCGAACTTTGCCGCGAGATATGACAGATATAAACCCCTCAGACTTCATTCAAAATGTGGGTGTTTGATGGAGAGTTGTTAGTGAGAGTTTGGAGACAGTTTGGAGGTTTATGAGAGTGAGGAGAGAAAGTCAGGAGAGAATGGAGCCAGCTAAGAAGAGGAGGATGTCCTCCCCTGTGTGGGAACATTTTGATCTTATTCCTCCCAACAAGGTATGTAAATTTCTACAGAAGATGTATTTTCATAATACTGATGGTGCAATACAATTTATGTTGAGCTGTCTTTACTTTTGTACAAGGTGAAGTGTTTGCTATGTGCCAGGGAGCTGGGATATAACAACAACACCTCATCCATGCTTAGGCACTACAGAGCTTTGCATGAGAATAAGGGGAACAGCGATTGTGGAGCAAGACCAGGTGAGCCATCAAATGCAATGATAATATAGCATGCAGTAATGTTACTAAATGATATAACAATATTATACAACTGTTATAAGTTACGTGTGTGATATTTATATTTGTGCTTTGTCTTTATTGTCTTTCCTCAGGAGAACAATCTCAAATAGATGAAGACCTGGTCAGCATGGTGATTGAGGACTCCCAGCCATTTAGCATTGTGGAGGACAAAGGATTTAAAAGATTTGTTAAATCATTAAATCCTAGCTATGCTCTCCCCACTAAAAAGGCCATAAAAGCAGTGAAAACTTAGTTTTTACAGAATAAAATGTGAACAGGCAGGACTGAGGCCTCAGTGTGTAGCTGTCCACACCTCACCTCACAGTAAATGATCATTTTCCATACTGCCAGTATAAATATACACAGTGTACTGCATCACTACAATATAGATGTTTTACACACTCCTTTTGTTGTTGACATTTACAGGCTGTGTGCAAAAGGCCACACTCTTCAAATTTATGCCAACTAATATTTTTACGTCCAGTAGGTGTCCTGCTAGAGCAAATGAAGCTTCAAGACGCCTTGCACTGGGATGAACCAACTGGATGAAAAGCTTCAGTGCTTCATGAAGCTTCATCTGCCCATCCTACCAGGAACTGTGACCGAATGTAAAACCCTGAAAGCCGAGCCGAGCAGCTACAAATGGAAAAGGGGCTGCAGTGCAACGTGAGGCGGTAACTGTAACCGGAGCTGAGCCGCTTGTTCCGCCTTCACCACAAAGGTCTCTCCGTACAGGAGCAGAGACTCACTCGAGCAGGAAGCCGCTGGTTTGCAGAGAGTTGGCTCTCGGAGTTTCTTCCCGGCTGTGTGTGTGTTTGTCGGTGACGGCGTGACCTTTAACCCGACGGTACTCAAACAGAAATGCCGCTCCGCTCCCGCTGATTTTTCTCACTTCCGCTCTGGCGGCTGCTCTTCTTCTCTGTGGGAAATAACTGCAGTACTGGACTCTCCTGCCCCCACAGGAAGAACTGAGACGAGTATATAAATGGATGAATGTAAATTTGACTCTTCCTCATTATCAAAGCTTTGTATCAAAACTTTATTTAACAGTACAAAAACATTCCTCTGTCTCGATGCATGCCCGATGATCCAGGTAAGGCTGAAATGACGAAGCAGATCCACCACTGAAAACTCGGCGTCCAGGTGAACAGAATCAAAAGTGTGAAAAGGTGTACACTGCACCCGTTTTAAACAACAACACACCTGATGTCATCATCAGGCGGAAACCAGCGTCGCTCGCTGTAACGATGACTTCAGCAGAAACTGTGGGCGTGTTCCTCACTGAGATACGTGACCATGATTGGAGCTGTTCCACCTCTCCAAACTCCATGGAAAGGAGCTTTAGTGCTCCCTTTAGAGTAGGATACACCAAAGCATCCTCGATGAAAGGAGAGGAGAAAACGCCATCCCATCCGACCATTCATGAAAAACATAACCATAACCATGACCCTAAATGTTCCTCCGGCTTTAAAATTCCCGCCTCTGCGGTGCAGGACATTTACACAGGCTGTTCTCGTTCATATGACCTCCACCAAACAACAGAACACGCTGAGACAGAGTACGATGCACGTTTGTAGTTTCAACACGGCGGACATCCGGCCTCACACCGTCAAGGAGAGAGAGTGTGAGGTCGTTCCACTTCTCTTTTCCTAAGTCCTCAGCAGGAGGTGAGGAAAGGAGACAGATGTATGGTGAGGTAACGCGTTCCTGCTGTATTTTACTTGCATCTATTTGAAGGAGTGAACGTAAACACAAATATTGTTATTTTATATGCAGGAAATAGGTTTAAATGTTAAACACATTTCTTCAAGTCAAAGACCGTTGCATATAATGCAATTTTTCCTTGATGCATAAAGTTAAAAGATTAAAACTAATAAAACAAGTTTTAAAAAGAGACTTTAAATATTTAATGATTGAAATAAATCACAAAAATCAACTCTTGATTTTATCTATAACTTTTGTTCTATTTTCAGTTTTTTTCACCCACATGCAGGTCACAGAAACACAGCACGGCACGAACAGCCAATCACACATGGTACAGGACAGGGAGGACACGCCCCCTCTCCACAGCAGCAGGGATGATTATGCATGATGTCAGTAGTTACTATGATGTCATCACATTGCATCTCACACTGTAGAACAAGATGCATCATAACAGAAGAAATAAAAGAAATATAAAAACTAAAGCAACAAATATGAAGAATATGAAGAATAAAATATAAACAAAATAAAATGTAAAAACAAAAATATTAAAAACTGAAAATGTATTTTTAAAAGTTCTGATAAATTGAAAATGATGACATTTGATGTCCAAGCAGCAAAGTGATACATAAATCCAGGTCAACTTTTGTTTCATTACGAACACAGACGGTCGGCGTCCTGAGGGGGGCGCTGTGCCAAGGGTTCATTTTCTGAGTAACGTCGTTAAACCTGCTGCTGTCAATAAAGTTTCTGCGTGTCACCATCAGCAGGTTCATAAAACACCATTGGATGCCACGCTGACTCATTAACATCAAACAGGAAAACAAGAAAGAAGTTTCGGCTCTCTGATGAGTCACTTCCTGTCAGGCGCACTCTTCCTCCTCCTTAATCGGACCACTCCTGGTCCTCAGGCTCAGACTCCTCTTCTGATTCGCTGTATTCCACGGCAATACGTCGTGACAAGATGGTGGCAACGTCGTTTCCTGTCGGCTCTCGTTTCTTGGCCTCTTCCTGCTCGCGCTGCTCCTGAACCTTCCTCAGCTGGATCCCTGCAGACACGAGACACTGCATCAACACGCAGGACCACACCAATCCACACCAGATCACACACACATCTGTCGGACCACACCCACCAGGTCACCCTGGCCACACCCGCCCACACCAGACGAGCATCACCCAGTGACCACCTCTATAATCTGTGAACTGTCTGCGTCCTGACTGACCTCTGCGGATAGCGGCGAGGAGGTCACTGCGGGCGTCATTTATTGGCACGTTCAGTCCAGCGGCTAGCTTCCTGCCATCCGCCGCCGGGGGCACCGGGGGCGCAGCAGCAGAGGAGGGAGCTTGGCTGCTAGGACGGGAGGGGGAGGGGATGTAGTTAGCTGGGGGTAGTGGTGGAGGGGAGGGGCTATAGGGGTGGGGCTGGGCAGCAGTGCCACCTGTGGATAGAAAAGAGCAGGAGCTCCTGATTTCACGTGGACACGCAAAAGCGCCATCAGAAACTAAAAAATAGCCGGGTGCTTGTTACCTTGGTTACCAGGCACAGCTGCAGGGTGCAATGGTGTTGCCATAGCAGCAATGTGGATGGAGCTGTTTGGAAACACCACCTGTCCTGCTGATGGCATGAGAGGTGGAGGCGGTGGAGGGGCCGGAGGGATTTGATGATCACTGAGGAGGGATGGAGGTCAAAGGTCAAACATGTATATGTGCATAATGATAGTGATTATAATTTGAACGTATGTGTGTGTGTTTACTTGGCTTCCTTTGCCATGTTGGAACGTGCTCCGTTCTGATTGGCTGGGCCAGTGAGCGGCTGTGGGCGATGGTGATGCTGATGCGGCTGGTTGCGGCCCAGAGAGTGCTGGCGAGCGGTTGCCGCGGATACTGCGGAGGTGGGTCTGAGGGCACGGTCCAATGACTGAGTTTGCCCAGACCCACTGGTCGCCATGTCAGCATGATCTTTTCTATCATGCCCATCGTGGTGAGGACTGGCCGGGAAGGAGAGGTCATCTGACATCCCTGACCTTTGGGGGAGGAGTTAAAGTTCTGATGTCAGCTTATTGGACTGGGAAGTAGGTGTGAACATGCAGGTGTTTACCTGTCGGGTGACACTGAGCCGTCAGATGTATGGTGAGGTGATGGCGTGACTCGAGCATCTGGGCGGAGCTCCTTGTCATAAGCCATCAGGTTCCACTCCTGCCGCCTGTTTCGTGCTTTCCGGACCTTCCCAAGAGAAACAGTAATGAGATTTAATGAGAGTTCAAAAACTTATCAAAACATGCGACTTAACAAGTTTTAACCAAACACAAATGACTTCACCTTCTTCACCTCCCGCCCTGAGGACTCCTCCACATGTCTCTGCTCCTAGAAATAAATGACCTGTTAAAGCAGCACCTTATCTTCACATGATGGATGATCGTGGTTGGATGCGTGGATAGATGGATG